AAGTTTTAAGTTGAACAATGTTGTATATTTTTTTAAGAGTTAACCCCAATGCGTTTTTTAAAGTTGCAACTCCTTTTTCAGAAATATTCACAACAGTGAAAGGACCGAGCCATTTTTGTGAAAACTTCCCTCCCTTCCAATCAAATCGTTTTTTGTTTCTCAATAAAACAATGTCATCTACCTTATTTTCTGACTTTGACAAATGTCTACTATCATAATCTCGTTTTTTGCTTTTTCTGCGCAACTTTTATATTTTTGCTTACTTCAGACATTATTGTTGCTCTGACTTTACTTGTTAATGAAAAGACGGCATCAAAAAAGTTGAAATCGAATGGTTGTTCGTCTATATTTTATTCTCGGTGTTCTTGTTTATTGCTTTCGTCTTTGACAATGCTATGCTTCACATCAATTGGCAAAATTGGTTCGCGATTATACATCAGCATGAATGGAGAGTAGTTAGTAGAAGAATGTCGACTAACGCGATGAGCAAAAAGAATACCCTCAATAATTTGCGGCCACATTTTAGGCCACAAATCAACTTTGATTCTATTCTAAATTCTATTTACAGTTTTTTAAAAACTTCTTTGTAAATTTTCTTTTTGAATCGCAAGTTCTTGGAGTCTTAATTTACTGCTCCAATCATAATTTCCCGGGAAATTATGATTCATAACATCAAATTTTCCCGTCAAAATTTTCTTTCAAAGTCTTGATTTCCCGGGAAACCAAGACTTCAAAGTCCTAATTTCCTGGAGTCTTAATTTACCGCTACAACGGTACAAATTAGAAAAGAATTGCGGATGGAAATAAAAAAAAGTTCGAGAAAGTGGGAAATTTGCTTATATATCATACGACAGGTTGATAGTCAATTGTTCTCCAAAAGTAAAGTAATATTATATATTTTAAGAAGAAAAATATATATATATATATATTTCTAGAAGAAAAAAATGCAAAAAATAACTTACCTCATAAAACTTTTTATTTATGCAAAACTCATTAATCATAAAGAAGTTATTATTGAGAAACTGAACAGTTTGTTACTTGCTGTTGGACCAAGCTTAGCAGCAGTGGCGGAACTACTGGACGCAGGACCCTGCGTTGCGGGGGGGCCTACCAGCTTTAGGGAGCCCTCATATAAAAAAAGTTATATTCTCAATAATATTTATACTATAAAACTCTTTTCCGCAAAAAAAACATTCTTTTGCGGGGGGGGGGGGGGGGGGTGTGTGCCCAAATTTTGAAGTTCCGCCACTGCTTAGCAGCGAAAATTATATTTAGTCAAAAAGGATTTGATTTATATCTTACAACAACTGATATAATTATGGACAAACCAATTTTGAAAAAAAATAAATTAGATAATGCTTTTAATAGTCATTTAGTTAATTATAAAAAATAAAAGTACAGGAATTGATCAAATTAATGTTAATGTAATTAAATCTGTTTTTAATATTATCGAACCCTCATTATTCCATATTTTTAATCTCTCACTTAAATCAGATCATATTTCTGACGAATTAAAAATTGCAAAAATAATACCTATTTACAAATCTGGTGATGAGACTAATATTTCAAACTAAAGACTTATTTCAGTCTTGCCCTGCTTTTCTAAACTAATTGAACGCATCATGTACAACAGACTTTATAAATATTTAACTGAAAATAAGATTTTATACTGTAATCAATATGGTTTTAAAAAAATCATTTTACTGACCATACAATAATTGAATTAGTTAAACATATATCAAATGGATTTAATAGTGATAGCTATACAATTGGAGTTTTTATTGATTTATCCAAAGCTTCCCACGCAGTAAATCATGAGATACTGTGTATAGAAAATTACGGTGTATCATGAGATACTGTGTAAAGAAAATTACGGTGTATCATGAGATACTAGGTATAGAAAATTACAATAAAAAGAAAAGCTTACTTTGATTTAAATCATGTTTAACAGAAAACAATTTATACTTTTTTTTATTATTATAAATTTGCCGTTTAAAATAATTACAACTCTCGTATTTGTAAAATATACACATGGCGGGGGCAAGAAGAAGACAAAATAGTCTTATCGCCAAACCAATAATCCGTAAATAATATAGCCATCAAATCTTGTCATTAAAAATGTTGTCAAATATAAAAAGAAAAATATGTATATACATTTTTTAAATAAAGATAAACTCTATAATTTATTTATAATAATAATTGAATACTAAGAAAAAATAAAGGTAAATAAACGAAAAAATATATATATATTCAAGACTATATATAACAGTTTTTAATTATTGCGATTAAGAATTTCTAATTAGGAAATATAATGAAAAGAATTTAAAATTTTAAGGAAAAATTTTTAGATTTTCATAATAAGAAAATTAAAAAAAAAAATAATAAGTTTTTAAAGAACCAAATTTTTAAAGCTTTGCAAATAAATTGAAAATATACTATACAATATTTTAAAAGCCAACAATTAAGTATACAATATTTTAAAAGCCAACAATTAAGTATAGCTCTAGAAGATGTTCTTTATGTATTAATTAAAATTATATCTTTTAGTTTTGATTTTAAAATATTTAAGTTTGCAAGCGTTTTGATGTCATTTTTAATTATTATACTCCATAGTTGGGGGCCTCTAGCTGTTATAGAAAACTTAGTGGCTTCAAAGTGAGTTTTAACTTCAATATAATTATTGTTTGCATGTCTAGTAAGATATTTGTGTTGTATTTTTTTAAATAGCGTTTTAAAAATATTTGGCATCGTATCGTTATGGATTTTATACATAAAAACTAAATGATGATATATATTTATTTGGTAAATATTTAAAATTTTTAGATTAATAAATAGTGGTTGTGAATGAGAGAGACGGTCTGCGTTGGATATTATTCTTATGGCATGTTTTTGTTTGTTGAATAATTTGTTTAGTTTTTTTTTATTGGTGCTGCACCAAGCAATGTTAGCATAATTGAGATAACAATGGATAAAAGCAAAGTAGATATATTTTAAGCAAATTTGATTTAGGTAAGTTTTACCTTATAAAGTATGCCGACATTTTTAGAAATTTTATTTTCGATTAATTTTGTGTAGTTTATCTATGTGACATTTTCGTCAAGAAAAACTCCTAGAAACTTCATTGATTGTTCTCTTTTTATAAATTGATTCCCAATGCTAACATTTGGGAGCTTTAGAGGAATTTCGTCTCTTTGATAAAGGCGATGAAAAAAAATATACTTAGTTTTGGTTAAGTTTAATGACAATTTATTTGTATTAAACCATTCAGTTACTTTTAGCAGTTCTTTGATGACTGTTTTAAATAGGGTTTTTATATTACTATGAGAATAAATTGGTATTGTCAGCAAACAAAATAGAGTCTAATATATTTGAGACTTTGCTTAAATCGTTAATATATATTAAAAACAAAAGTGGCCCTAAAATGGATCCTTGAGGAACTCCACAAGTGATTGTCTTATTTTCAGTTTTACCACATCATAAGAAACATACTGCTTTCTATTAGACAAGTAGTTTTTAAACCAAACTATATTTGCATTTTTAACTCCGTAATTTAATAGTTTTTTCAACTGTGTCAAAGGCATTGCTAAGGTCTATAAAAATACCTAATGTATACTCTTTTTTATCAAAGGCTTGAAAAATATCATGAACAAGTTTAATCAGTTGAATGAATAGAATATTATACATTAAAAGAGAATAGTCTATTATACATTATTCGTTCCAGAATTTTAGAGAAGCAAGGAAGAATGAAAATAGGTCTATAATTAGAGACATTAGAAGAATCACATGATTTGAAAACCGGTATAACTCTAGCAGTTTTAAAACTTTCTGGAAATATTCCTTGTTTTAGAGAAAGATTAAAAATATGTAACTATGGTGTTATTAAATAATGTATAGATTTTATAACAACATTACTACTTATTTCATCAACTCCTAATCCTTTGTTTAGTTTTAACGTTTGAAAAGCAATTAGTAACTCATTTTTAGTCAGTTTATTGTTGGTCATTATTGCATTGTTAGCAGTTAAATATGACTCTACGCTAAATTTACAAGGTTTTAGTTTTAAGGCTAAATTTGATCCTACACTAACAAAAACTTGATTAAATGTTTTTGCAATTTTTGATTCATTAAGTATATCAACGCCATTAAAGTTTATTGTTTTTGGAAGACAAGTAGTTGATAACTTTTTTTTACCAATTAAATCTTTAATGACATTCCAGGTTTTCTGAGTGTCGCCTTTGAATTTTAGTAATTGATTTGAATAATATATTTTCTTTGAACGATTTATAACTAGCTCAAAAATGTCTTCATATTTTTTATACTTGGATTCATTATCAAATGTTCTTTTTTTAAGAGATTTTTCGTACAAACGTTGCTTCTATTTTGATGATTTTAATATTCCGATAGTTATCCATGGGTTCAAATACATTTTAGATTTAATAATTTTTGTCAGTAAATTTGCTTGTTATAATTTGATCAATCGAGGTTGCACAATTTTTGGTAATTCTAGTTGGTTTATTTATAATTGGAATAAATCCATTTTGAAATACTAAATTAAGAAAGTTTCTGAAATCTTTATTTGAGTCATATTCTAATACATTTAGATTCAAATCGCCCACAAGGTAAACGCATTTACTACAAACATCTTTATTTGTAATTAAATTTTTTATGTGTTTATCAAATATTTTCATATTACCTGAGGGCGGTCTGTATAAAACATGCACAATTATGTTTTAGGTAGTTTTACTGAATATTTCAATTGTCAGTCATAATCATTACTTGTTGTACAGTAATCACTTTGCGGTTTATAAATCAATGAGTTGTGGATAAAGATGCATACTCCTCCACCTAGTTTATTAGTGTTTCTAAGTTGACGAACTACTTTATAATTATTTAATTGAAAATTTCAATCGTTTTCAATTTCAATGACGCAAATAACTTTAAACTCCGTTTTTGTGCTGAGTAAAAAAAGTTTAGATTTCTCAAAATTTTTTTGAATGCTTCTAATATTTAAATGTAGGATTGAGAATGCATCTATATCTATTTTAGGATTTGAAGTACTTAAGATGTAATATAATGGACTTATGTTTTTCATTTCATCGCAACTATTATAAAAATATCTGGATATGAATGACTAGAAGTATATTTTTTTTACTTGAAAAGATTTAAACCGTGAATTTTGATAAAAATTGATAGTTTATAAATATTAAAATAAAATTATAAATAAAAAAATATAAAGACCGAAAAAAAAACATAATAAACTGAAATGATTAAATTTTAGCGTTTTGATTTTTTCAAAATTCTTTTACTATTAGTTTATCATAAATAAAAATCGAGTACATACCGTTGTTCCTGTTAACTTTCATTTCTTCAAGTAATTTTTTCCGTATAACTCTTGTATCGAAAGAATAATCCTCGTTTATGTAAATATTCGTTCCTTTAAGTTTGTGTGCGTTTTTTAATATTTGAATCTTATCTTTATAATTTAATAACTTCATTACTATAGTTCTCGGATTTTTTGAATTTATCTTTCCTGTTCTGTGTGCCCCTTCAATAGTAACTCCTTTTATGTTTTCAAATACTTTAATGACTTTTAGTTCGGTTTCCTCCCAGCTTTCCGATTCGTTCTCTTTAAGCCCATCAATTCGTAGATTGTTTCTTCTTTGCCTGTCTTCTAACTGTCTAATTTTATTTTTTTCTGTTTGACCGATTTCTGTTTTGTTGTGACTTTTTTCCTCTAGGTCATGAACTTTCTTTTCTTGAATATCTTGGGAAAAATTAAGACTCTCTTCAATATCTCTTTGAACACATTCATATTTTTTTAGTCGTTCGTTTTTCAAGTTCTACTTTCCTTGATTCGTTTTCATTGAACAGAGTTTTATACGATTCTTTTATTGATAATATTTCTGCATTCAAGCCATCAGTTCTTTCGTTAGATAATTTTAAGTTTCCGCTGATAAGTTTAAGAATGTCGTTTTGGTTGTTTTTGAAACATTTCTTTGAATATTTCTCGAACAATACTTATTGAGACTTCTTTATCGTCATTAATGGAAGATTCTGTTGATAACTTTTTCGATTTATTCATTATGTGAAATCAACCTTTTTAATCCAGCAAGCGAAGAAATAATGAATACTTGAATACTTGAAAATACTTTAAGAATACTTTAAAATACTTGAAGAATACTTGAAAATACTTGAAGAATCAAAAAATTCAAAAAACAATCCAATAACTTTTGGGGTACCACAGTGTTCTATTTTAGAACTCTTATTATTTTTGCTTTATATAAATGAATTATATTTAGAATCAAAAATATTAAACACTATCTTATTTGCAGAATAATTTATTTTATTCTCACAAAGATAATTTTTTTTTTTATTCTCACAAAGTTATTATTGTTCTTTTTAAAATTTTTAACAAAGAGTTAAATAAGATCAACGAGTGGTTTAAAAGTGACCAACTTTCATTAAACGTTGATAAAGCAAAGTTTATCCTATGCCATAAACCTAATAAAACCAAAAATATTATTTTTAAATTACCCGATTTTTAAATTAATAACATAATAATTAAAAGGGAATTAACTATAAAATTTCTAGGAGTGCTTTTAAATGAAAAACTATCATGGTAATACCATATTAAATATATAGAAAATAAGATCTCAAAAAGTATTTTCATGTTATATCGAACAAAACCGTTTCTTTAACAAATATATATATGTTTATTCTTTAAAAAAAATATATATTTTTTTATATAATCTTTTTCGTCAATACAATTTTTTTTTTTTTACAAAATGGTTAACACAAAGTTTGTTTTGAAAGATAGCTTTGTTCATACAAAGCTATCTTTCTTACTGTAACGTTGCCTGGGATAGCACTAATCACACTAAACTCAAAAAAATTTATAGCAAACAAAATCATGCTTGCAGGATAATATTTGGTGCAAACAGGAATGCACTTTGCGAACCTCTCTTAGGTCAGCCTCTCTTAGGTCAGCCTCTCTCTCACTTTGGAGCTTTAAATATTTATAGGATTAATATTCACCAAGTGTTATTTATGTTTTTTTTTTTTTTGTTCTTTTTACTACATTTTAAATAAGCATTTTGTTACAATATTTAAAATAAAAATAAATAATAACAATATATATATATATATATATATATATATATATATATATATATATATATATATATATATATATATATATATATATATATATATATATATATATATATATATATATATATATATATATATAATATATATATATATATATATATATATATATATATATATATATATATATATATATATATATATATATATATATATATATATATATATGTTCAATACATCTCGATATCACCTTCTTTTTAGTTTCGCCAATGTACATCGAACCGCATGAACATTTTAGCTGGTATACGCCAGGGTCTGTGTTTAGTGGTAGTTTAGTTTTATTGTTGCAGAAAATATTTTTTAAATTGGGAGTTAATGTAAAAATAACCAAAACTTCGTAAAGAATTTCGAAAGCAAAACATAAAGGTGCCGTCATCTTTTTGACGTTTTTGCAAAAAAGGTTTTGCAAAAACATGCAGAGGTTTACACTCACCCCGCAGGTGGCCGGTAACAACAGCTGGTTAATGAGTTTTTTGTTTGTTTGTTTTCAATTTCAATTGTTAAAACTTCTTTATCGCTATTAGAAATGCTCAAATCGCCTCTAAAAACAAGCCTTAGTGCGCATAAATTAGAAATCCACCACTTCGTTTGTTTATTTGTCTCTCCAAAGAAATAATATTAAAATGCGGAATTCGGAAAAATTCAGTGAACATTTTTTTCCTGATTGGTTTCAAGTGAAAAGTCTTTGTTAACAAAAATATTTTTTTCTTTTATTAGATTTAGTTATATTAATATTTTCTTGACTATGTTTCGTAAAATTTTATTTACATTTTCAAAAGATTATTTTAAGATAATAAAATTCTTAAATAAATATTAAAAAAGAGAAGTCTTTACAGAGAAATAATAATGGACAAAAATTTACATAATGAACCAATATATTTATTAGAAAATAACTCGGTAAATAACCAATCAAAATAACTAACTGTAAAAAAAAAAAAAATTAACAACAATGATAAACTGACAGTAAAATTAAATAGATAAGTTTATAGCAAAATTAATTCTTATTAAAGTTGATTATATAAACTCATTACATAATATTATAAGTAATAAGACTAAGTTTAAAGAATTAAAAGAGGATCCAACTATAAAAAGAGAAATATCTTTACAGCGGTATCTTAGAAAACTTTATAAGCTTAAATGTTTTGAAAAAGACATTTACACTAAAATTTATCCTGTATGATCTCAACCTGCAAGAATTTACGCGTTGCCTAAGATGCATAAAGTTAGTAAAGATAGTTCTCTTCTAACATTTCGACCTATCATCTCAACAATTAGAACATATAATTACAATCTTGCCAAACATAAATCTCATTTATTGTCTCCTCATATACCTAAACAATTTTGCACTTTAGACTCATTTTCTTTTGTTGAAGGATTAAAAAAAATTAATGTAACTAATAAATTTATCGTTTCGTATGATGTTGAAAGTTTGTTCACGAATATTCCACTTAAGGAAACCATTAACATAACAACTGATTTATTTTTTAAAGATAAAATTAACTCAAAATGTTTTTCAAAAATTCAGTTTAAAAAATAACTTTAGATTTCCACATCCGGTTCACATTTTTTATTTGACGGAGAATATTACGATCAAACGGATGGTGTTGCTATGGGTTCTCCTTTAGTGCCCATCTTAACTAATATTTTCGTCGCATTTCATGAACAAACATGGATCAATAACTGCTCCTTGACGGCACCATTATGTTATAAACGGTATGTGGATGATATAATTGCCATTTCTAATTCTGAACATGAAGCTCAAGAATTTTTCAAACACCTCAATAAACAACATAAAAATTTGAAATTTACTATGGAAAAAGAACAAGATAACCAGATTGTCTTTTTAGATGTACTATTAAAAAAATCCAATTCATTATTGACTTCAGTTTATCACAAAAAAACATATACAGGTCTTTTACAAAAAATTTTAAGTTTTATTCCTTCTTGCTACAAACTTGGACTTGTTCGTTTTTGATTGATCGTACATTTAAAATTAATAATACTTGGGTTGGTTTTGATAAAGATGTTAAGCATCTATCATTACTTTTTACTAAATAATAATTTTCCACAAAAAATTATTGACTCTGAAATTAAGTCCTATATTGATAAGAAAATGAACCCATCTGTTTCTAACATTGTTAATAGCTTAAATATAATTACTTTAAGCTTCTATACATTGGAATGTACTCTAATTATACTAAAATGAAAATTTCAAAAATTTATTCATAAATATTGCAAGGATGTTTTAATAAAATTAATTTTCACTACTTATAAAATACAAGATTATTTTTGCTTAAAAGAGTCACTAACAATCACTTAAAAGAGTCACCTAAATTGCTTAAATCTCATGTTGTCTATAAATTTTCTTGCGCTGGCTGTAGTGCCAGTTATATTGGAGAAACCTCCAGACATTTGGCAACTAGAATAAATAAGCACCTTAAAAGTGATAAACAATCTCATATATTTAAACACTTAAACTTATCTGTTAATAAATATCAATCAATCAATCAATTAATCAATTGCAAAAATCTGGCTAACTGTGATTCTTTTGAGATTTTAGATAATGCCCCAACCAAACACAAATTAAAGATAAAAGAAGCTCTCCACATTAAACGGGAAAGTCCCTCACTTAATACAATATGCTATAAACTTATCTATTTAATTTTACTGTCAGTTTATCATTATTACTAATTTTTTTTTTGACAGTAAGTTATTTTGATTGGTTATTTACCGAGCTATTTTCTAATAAATATATTGGTTCATTATTTAAATTTTTGTCCGTTATTATTTCTCTGTAAAAACTTTTATTTTTTAATAATTATTTTAGAATTTTATTATTGCAAAATAATCTTTTGAAAATGTAAACAAAATTTTACGAAACAATTCAAAAATAATGAACATCGTGTAATTTTCAAAAATAATTACTTATTTTATACTATTACGACGATCACAATATATATATATATATATATATATATATATATATATATATATATATATATATATATATATATATATATATATATATATATATATATATATATATATATATATATATATATATATATATATATATATATATATATATATATATATATATTTATATATATATATATATATATATATATATATAATAAAATTCTAAAATAATTATTAAAAAATAAAAGTTTTTACAGAGAAATAATAACGGACAAAAATTTAGATAATGAACCAATATATTTATTAGAAAATAGCTCGGTATATATATATATATATATATATATATATATATATATATATATATATATATATATATATATATATATATATATATATATATATATATATATATATATACATATATATATATATATATACATATATATATATATATATATATGTATATATATATATATATATATATATATATATATATATATATATATATATATATATATCAAGCAAAAAGTTCTTCTTTATTTGATTACCGTTGCCTGGAGAAACAAGAGAATTTTCTTGTTGCTATGAAAACAATTTTTGTCGGCCACGGTATTTCTTAAATAGATTAGCGGAAGAAAAAATCAGCATCGAAATAAATTATCCATAACAGTTTTCTTAGAATCTTCGATCCATATAGTCTAGAAATATATATTTAGTTTATAAATTTATTAGAGCTGTTTCAAAATTGATAACTAGAATTAAGGTAAGTGGATCTGTTTTTTTCCATAGATTTAATAACGTAAAATTGTTAGCTATAAAAATTTTTTTACTACAGTAATAAACACGTGTGCAACTGTATATATAATACACATACGTATGTAAAAGCCATGTAAAACTGTATATTTATTTACATGAGTACATTGTATTTAATAATAATTTTTTACATAGTTTATGTTTAAGTTTTAAATTATTACAATATCATGTATGATAGATGTCAGTTTGTTTAGGCAGCTAAGTACTGAAAGCTTTCAATTTTAATTTGATGAAGTGAGAATTTTTTAGTAGAAAATTTTATAAGATAATTTACTTAATTATCATTTTAATTGTTTTTATTGCTCCTAATAGTTGTATGCGAGTTATATACTATGTTAACATTAGACATTTAAATGATGTTTAGATAATGAAGAAAGTATAAACTATAATTTAAGATTATAGTTTATACTTTCTTCAACATCTAACTGGAGCAATTAGATGACAAAAAGTCTTACCATCAACCCCTCCATGAAATATAAAATGATCTTAGACAAGCTACAGATTCCTGGCTCATTAATTGTAACTCAAATTAATTGTTTTTTTTATAATAAAGGAGCAATTGTGGTTGAATTTCATAATGGTAAAAACAAAAACAAATAAATATCAACATTAAAAAATGCTAGTCAATAACTTATCAAGGCCTATATACATGTGTGTGTGTATATATATATATATATATATATATATATATATATATATATATATATATATATATATATATATATATATATATATATATATATATATTTATATATATATATATATATATATATATATATATATATATATATATATATATATATATATATCATATTGTATATTGAGCAATGTGTCAATGCTCATTTGTAAGTGATTGACACTGTACTCACGGCAGCCATTGCAACCGAGGTAATGATGAGAAAGAGTGGCCAAAGTGATTAGGTTGCAACGTTTCTGAAGCAAAGGACTGTGGTTCAAATTCCACCATTTGTCCCCCACCCCCTCCTTTTTTTTTTATTCTTTTTCAATTTTTTCAAACACAAAATTAAACACTGTTAAAGTTCTATAGATATTATATACATAACATATATAAAGATATCATATACTTTAACAACCGAAAGGAAAAGAATTTTTATATATCCTATTTGCCTGAGTCTTTTGTTTATTAAATAGTGTTAAAACTTTTATAAGCAATGATCCTTAGCGGCTGAAGTGGTTAGCTTGTAGAGTTTCTGGAGTGCATTGTTGTGATTCAACTCCTACCACTTGGCCATTAATTTTTTTTTCTTTTTAATTTTTTTAAATAAAAAATAAAATATTTTTGAAGTTCTATAGATATTATATACATAACATGTTAATAAGATATAACATATTAATAAGATATACTATAACAAACAACAAGGAGAGAATTTTTAAAAAAGCCAAAAATTTTCAAAAACATCCAAACACCATAAGAAATTTGTTGCGCATATGTTATGATAGTGTTACTTATGTCATAAGTAACACTATCATAATGTGCTCAGGTAATTAGCCCTAATAAGCTCTGAAACTTAATTAAAAAAAAATAAGCCTGTTCTGCTACTCCAGAAGGTGCTAATGTGGTGCCAAAAAAAAATTAAAAA